GATAGGAGTTTATTTTTGTACAATAAAATAGTGTCCTGTGGAAAAACAAAATACAGTCTGTGTCTCTGTGTTCTGTATCATATTAAAAAAAAACCTTTGGTGGCCAGGAGCCCCATTTAACACTATGGGGGGTTGAAGGCTACAAAGTGGGTGTGTCCATAACGTGTGTGTGTGTGTTGGCATTATCAGAAAAACCAGACTGAGAAACAGGCACGCTGCAGACCTAAATCTATCTTTATTAGAACAGCTATAGTACAGAAAGTTGTGAGTCTGATTGTGCTATACCTCCTACCTTGTCTTATACTTCTGCGAATTAGGGAGGTGTCTTTCTGAGCTGCTGATGAACATTATCTGTTTGTTGTGGGCTTAAAGATGTTTTTCACCCCTTGTCGCCCGAGTAAAGGATCTTGCATATCTGCGTCAAGATCATTTTCCTTACTCTCTGCACAGTTGCCCTTTCAGCCTGGAACTATTTTAAGCAGAACCTCAATGGCCATTTGGAAGGAGGACTGTGGCAGGGATTGGACTCTGTGGAGGGCTCTGTGCTATGAAAAGAGATTTTTGGCAGGCACTTCTTTCCTTCTCCACTTCTGCACCAACCAAAAATAACTTCTCCAGACAATTTTAAATGTTAGTACCCTTTTTTCACATTTAATTACATCACTTATTACTAAATATCTTCAGAGTGCTCCAAAAAAGTGTTGGATGTTTATTGCTTCTTCATCCCAGAAAATGTTCCAACTTTGACTCCTGGCTAAACTTACATTTTTGAAAAGTCCCCCTCACAAAGCACATAAACGTCATATGACAATTAAGTTATATGTTCCCCAATTATTTGTTCGTATAAAAATGCCAGGGGCAGAAGGGATGTGACTTAACTCATAGCCCTCTGGGTCTTTGCTAGTGGAATAGAAAGCCACGTGAGTTCTTGCTTGTTTTTTTAAAGCGATCTGGACCTTGCATGTCAGTGTCAATTTCCCTCCAGATACCAAAGGGACAATTGGCTTATTCCAGGAGATAGAGAACACCAGGTAAGAAGTGTTCCTTCTCTACTATATCTTTTCTCTTCAAACCAAACCTGAAAAACTGTGGTCATCATCCAAGTTAAAAGAAAAAAAAGCTTAGGAGAGATGGGCCGCCCTTGTTTGGAAATAGCAGGCAAGTGGAAGGAACAGTTAAATTTCTCTCTTACATACATATACATGCACACTGCTAGCTGAACTGAAAGCTTACCATGCTGCTGTTAGAGTCTGGTGTCTCTGTATTCATCTGCTGTGGTTCAACTTAGATGTAAAGACAGCATGGAGAAAGGATTATAACCCTTTCTGTTCCATTCAAAACGTGAGCCCTCTGCAGCTGCTCTTTATAATTAAAAAGCAGACAGAGGCAGTCTCAAATTTCCAAAGTTTCAGCTTAGTTCCATTCCATTTTTTTTGCTTTTGCTGAAGTTCAGTGCATAACTGCTTACTGTGATACACTGTAAGAAGATAATTCTAATTCTTATGTATTAGCCGCAGCCTGAAAAAAAGTATTGCAAAGTGTGACAAGTTGATATAACAATGATGCATGAATAGCACAGCCTGATACTCAAGCTTAATCAAAAGTGGTAGATGTAAGATAGGAGCTGTAGAATCCTCTCTTGCAGGCTGTTTTACTGAATATTTCTGTATGCTTTTCCTCTTTCTCCCCCATCTACCTGACTTTTTGGTCAATCAATATTTAAATACAGTAATGAGTGGAAATTTGAATTGTTAACAGATACAATTGTTTGTCAATATGTATTTCATATCTAAAAGTACAAGACAATAAAATATGTTCTGAGTTCATCAAGGACCATCTTTATATCGGCCCCTATCCAACACAGAATCAAACATGGTGAAGTCCACTGAAATCATTAAGTGGTAATATCTATAAGTCCCTGTTGGAGAGCAGCCAATAAATACTTTTTTTAGCCAGAGTAATTTAGCCTTCAGGTTTATTTGAACTGTAGCTGTGTTCTGTGTACTTTGCATTCATTAGTCTCTTCTCGTATTTCCAAAACTGAATGTAAATGTTCCATTTAAGTAATAGCAAGCAAAGAATAGATATGATGTGAATGCCATTTGTATTTGTAGTTTTTTGAGGTGTACGTGTATCTTTGGCTTGGTGTGCTTTGGTTGCCCACTCCCTCCTTCTTAGCATTTCATAGGTTACATCTATCCTTCATTCCCAAACTTGAATATATATAGCAATAGGTCTTTGATGGATCCATCCATAGTAAGAATTATATGATGATATAGATGATGGAAGTGACATAATATCAGGATGTCCTTTAAGTCTAGTTCCAAAAAGAAAACTAGGAGAATGGCTACATCACAACAACCCTAAAAATGGCAGTGAGAATCTATATGTGTAAAAATTGCAAGGTTCCTCCACTGGCATAGGATCTATGCTCACAATCAGCATGAAAATGACAAGAGCAGCAGGCCTAATACCCTTCCTCTTTAATGTATTCATTCCATTTATCTTTCTCTCACTGTTGTAGTGATGGAATTGAAACTAGTTTTTCTAACCTAGTAAAGCTGGTAGCACAATATCTCCATTGGTCAATGGCTGGGTTCAGACATCATATTAAGCCATAGTTCTTTTAACCACTATTTATTGCATGATCCATAATGTGTCTGTTCCCATAAAACACAAAAGCAAATGAACTATATTATATTTCAGAATAATACGTGGTCCCAGTTGGGACATGAATTCTAGAAGAGCGAAAGCCTTGTGAGCTATTGGTGCCTTGAGCAGGAAAGAAAGGGACAGGTAGGAGGCAAGAGAATTGGAAAAACATTGCACAACAGGCCCAAAAGAAGAAAAAGAGGGCCAGTTAAAAGAGTAACGTGGGAAAAAGAAGGGGAAAAAACCCAGATGTGGGTGCAGACCTGTGATGCACACACAAAAAGAAAGGGAAAGGAAGCCAAGTTTATAGAAGAAGCAGTTCGGGCTTTCTATTGTTGCAGAAAGAAGAGAAAATGTATGTCCAGACTCAGGCTTGGGATGAATCTGTCCACTTTCTTCCCACTCTATTTGCATGATGCTTAGTTAATCCGTATTGTGACTTTGGAGGTCACCCATCCTTGGAATGACATTACAAATCACATGGTGGGTTGGTGTCAAGGCTGTGTAAGATTTTCCCTGAACACCTTGGAATGCCACCTAACTGAGGCTCTTAACGCTCCATTCAACACTTTGAGGCTCTAAGAGTTGCATTCCATTACTTGGAATGCCCTCTTGCATTCCCACATTAGCAGCCTGGGTTTATAAGTGTACCTTCCTTCAAGGTAGCCCTTACAAAATCTACCCAGAGATATCACAGATACCTCTACTAGGCTGGCCACTTAGAGTATCCCTGAATTAATTTGTTCTATCTTTCACACCAGTGCCTTTCAGCATGGCCATGCCCCATTTATCCATTCAGCTTAAACTCCTTTTTGTAGGTTGTATGCAATGATTCAAGAACCAGATGAAGATTATTCTTTTGTTTCTTTACTTAAAGCTCAAAGTTGAGCTAAAGTCAAATATTGCTGTCTCTGTTAGAAGCTCAATAGATTATTATGGCTTGTTATATCCTAGCCAATAGAACAAAGGGATGAGAAGAAAGGGTACATAAGAAAGTAAGAAGGGGGAAGGAAAGTAGGGAAAAAGGTATGATCTCTTAAGATCTTCCTGAATCAGTCCAACATTTCTTTCACTGATCATGGTTGATCTACTCACAGATGGGAATAGATAAATCAGGAGAAAGATCTCTTTTGACAGAAGAGAACTAGAGACACAGGGAGGTGAAGTGATTGGAACTTCTTCCTCCTCTTTGCAGTGTCTTCTCTTTCTATAAAACCTAAAAGTTTCTCAGACTACAGTGCCATCTCTTCTTTCTGTATTTGGTTCTTTCTCCTCAATTCTCCATATATGGTAAACTCTAACGTTTTTCTGATTTTCCAGCTATCTGAACCCATGTCAAATTAAAGTTTTCCCACCCTGCAGTTCCTTTGATAGGCTATGTGTCTGTGTTTTTCCAACTTCCTTCCACTTGATTCTTTGAGATTACCTAAGATGCCCAAAGTTTGAGGCTCAAGCCACATTGGTTACCTGCAAGATCTGTTAAAGGATGGAAGAGGCAGAAGAAGAAGGAATTGAAACTATCTGGTAAAGGGGAGAGGATCTGAGCTTTTATGAAACAAAGATTCATGCTTTAAGCATGGCTTCAGTGTTTTTTTTTAATCATGGTGTTTCTGGCAAAAGCAGACATCCTGGCTTATTGAATGCTTTGCATGTGTTAAGGAAAATATTAATAGAATTTGTGAAAAAGAAACTCCTAAGATAAGTTTAATAATTTCTTCCAATTATTAATAAAACAAATTGGCAAAGTTACCATCTTGAGTTAGTAACAGTCTATAGAGGCCTTTAGATTTGAAGGAGAGATTTGAGTTGGGTTCCTGCTCTAAAAGAATTCTCCTGATCATTCTATGTTGTAGGAACCATGTCAAAGAAAGTAGCAGTTATTGGTTCTGGAGTGAGTGGGCTGACATCCATCAAAGCTTGTCTGGAGGAAGGCCTTGAACCCACCTGTTTTGAGCAAAGCAGCGACATTGGGGGACTATGGCGATTCACAGTAAGTAAATGGGACATTTTTAATTGCTTTCTCACAGAAACAAATATAATATGCAGGCTAAAATTTGAAAAATTAGAGAATTGAAATCCTCTTAGGAATTTTCCTCTTCGAAGTAGAAAGGATCTTATACAGATTATTCTTCTAAATCTGACAGCAATCTTAGGAAAAACATTGTAGTTGTGTAACACCTTGTATGAATTTAATTTTGCAGCCAATTTAACAATTTTTATCTCTCAGGCAGCATTCTCCATGGCATTTGCAGACAAGATGGCTTTAAAAAGTCAAGATGACCACAACTGCATGACTGAACTCTCATCCTTTTTATGTAGATTGCATCTGTGATACATGTAAAAAAGGTGCAGAGCTCTCTCCTGTCAATATAACATTCATCCACAATTGGTCACTGAGAGCCAACCAGACATAGTGTTAACTGCATAAAAAACAATTTACAAAATCTATCTATCTATCTATCTATCTATCTATCTATCTATCTATCTATCTATCTATCTATCTATCTATCTATCTATCTATCTACCTACCTACCTACCTACCTACCTACCTACCTACCTACCTACCTAACTGTCTACCTACCTACGTTAAATACTCTCACTAATACTAGTTTGGCTATGGGCTGAGCCTTTAACAGAGTTGAACTAAACACACTTCTGTCCACTACATGAAAAATGTAAATGAATCTTCCCCCTGCATCCCGCCCCCAGATGAACAATATAGTAATAACAGTTCCATTTCATTACAGTAATTGATTGATTATGTACTATTAAGTTATTGTTGACCCTTAGCAACCACACAGATAAATTTTCTCTATGATGATCTGTTCCTAACCTGGTCTTTCAGGTCTTCCAGTGGTACAATCATCACACAGTCATACTTGTTCAAAAATTCTCAGTAAATGATCCCCCACTAGGCAGATCTGCATGGAGCATTACTAGCATAAAAATATTGCTTCAAGTTAAGATGATTTTTCATTTTTAGTGTTACAAAGATTTGATGTATCCTTCTCAACATTACAACTCAACTAATGTCCTAGTGTTTAATCAATCCCATCTATTTTTACTGAACATTATAATGAAATATTTTAGCTTCTCATCCAGAATTGAACTATATATGACTAATTGATTATATTCTATGAGTTACATGCTGCCTAGTGTGCTTTTAAAAACAAGTATTTTCTGAGGTCACTAGGAATACTATAAGCAATCCTCCATATTGTATCTAAAATAAGGCATTTACTTTTTATACTTCAATTTATTTATTTGTCCAGTTTGTATGAAATGAAATCAGAGAGAAAACTCTAGAACGTAAGTGAAGAATGGCTTTCCATTTGAAGGAAATAGATTCTCTCTTGGGTGGTCTATGTGTTTTCCATACATCAAAAGTCTCACTTAACTTCTGAAACATTTTTGCATAGCTAAATTAGTCACAGTTCAGATTTTGGCAATCTTGACAGTATAGACTTGGGCAGATTTGGTTATATGTTCATTGGTTATTGTTTCTCTTATATAGAATGAATGAATGAATGAATGAATGAATGAATGAATGAATGAATGAATGAATGAATGAATGAATGCAATCAGCTCAAATCAAATGTTAGGCCTGTGGTCAATATTTGTTTAGAATTCAGAACGAAGCCTAGGTCTTGTTCATTGTCAAGAACTAATGTTATAGATACTAAAGGATCAGTATTTCAAGTCATACATGGTGGCATTTTGTGTTGAGGATATTGGAGAAAAGGTTCTTTTTATATTATTTAGGAAGATGTAGAGGAAAGAAAAGCAAGTATCTATAGGTCACTCACCAGTAATTCCTCCAAAGAGATGAGCTGCTTCAGTGACTTTCCAATGCCGGATAACTTTCCAAACTTTCTGCACAATGCCAAATTCTTGGAATATTTGCGACTGTATGCAAAGCATTTTGATCTTCTCAAATATATCAGATTCAAGGTAAGTAATGCTGAATTCCCAAGTGGCCCATATGGCCTCATTATACAAGCACTGTTTAAATCAGTGTTTTACTAACTTGGCAACTTTAAGATATGTGGACTTCAACTCCCAGAATTCCCCAGCTAACATGCAGTAAGCCTACTATATATCTCGTACAGACTATGTGGGCTTCAAATGTATAGGTGTTGTATATCAGTTTGCCACCTTAAATACATCAAGGCAGCCCCAAGTAGAGTGAGGTACAGTAGTCTATTCACCAAGTAAAACATGTAACTGAGGAAAAAACACTTTCTTTACATAGAGGAGCATTTAGTGAACTAATCAGAACTGTAAAAGGCATCTCTTTGATGCTGTATTTGGTTTCCATCAACTCCAGACACTGCACCTGAACTCTGAAGGAGAGTGCAGCCCTCTCCAGCTCTGGCTGCAAGTCTCCATCCTGACTGGTAAACTTCCCAATCTAGAATAATTCTGTTTAATCGAGCCTGATCTGCTTGTTTCAAAGCCACCTCCAAATACCCAATTGGAGCATTTGGGTTTCTTCAGCATGATGAAATTAACAATTGGGGCAGAAAAAGGAGAACAGCACACTGATGATAGTTTAGCCTGTTTGGTTTCCCAGAGATTGTTGGACTACAACTTTCATAATCCCCAGCTAGTTTGGCCAGTTGTCATGGATGCTGATGCTTTCTCCTAATGGAGGTTGGTGACTATCAATGCTATTTCTACTCGCAATGTACTGAATGAAACAAGGATGCTGTATTTTTGCCAAACATTGTATGTAGATTTTTCAGTCAGGATGTGTGGTCTATCAGCGCTGCATTTTCTTGAACCTTTCCTTGTATGATTAATTGAAGTAATTAATATTTCACATTGTATATGTGTCTTAAATATTCTAATTTCCTTTTCTTGAGTATATTTGCAAGTATCCCTATTTTTGGAGGACCATCTCATTTTGTTGATGCTCAACCAATCTTATTTTGAGTACCCATCTATAAATGCACATTTCAAAGACTTCTATTTGCTCAATTAGAGAAGAGATAATACAATTGCCCAAATATTTAGATGACATACCTTAGTACAGAAGTTCCCAAGCTTTCTCAGTTCATGCCCCCTTGTATATGTGTGTGCCTTCAAGTCAGTTTTTGACTTCTGACAACTGCCTGGACTAGATCCCTGCAGTTCTTTTGGCAAGGTTTTTCAGAAATGGTTTGCCCTTGCCTCCTTCCTAGGGACTGGCCTACAGTCGCCCAGCTGGCTTCGTGCCTAAGGCAGGACTAGAACTCATGGTCTCCCGGTTTCTAGCCTGATACCTTAACCACTACACCAAGCTGGCTCCCTAGTGTCTCAGTAATTTTTTCATAGCGCCCCTAGTGGTTTCCAAACTGTGCACTGCTGCAAAACTCAAAACTCTGCTTCCTCCCGTCCCCAGGGAGAATGAGTAGTGGATTTTTTCCTCACTGGCAGGTGGGAGAGGAAACAAAGCAAGAGGAATCCACCTCAATTTGTTCCACATAAAATCTGTAAGGACAGTTTCAGTCAATCAACCTTGTCACTTCTCCTGGCTGGAGAAATGCATATCAAACATGGCCATGAGATAAACCCCCAGACTTGTCCTTTAACTTCTTAGCATTCAAAGAAACAAGATGGTAAAACAAGCCATTTTAGCAGCCAACAACTAATGTATATAATAACCATGTCCCTTCGCTGGTTTTGTATCAGTCTCAAGTTGTCCATGTAGAAAAATGCCAAGATTTCTCTACCACTGGCCAATGGAATATGATTGTGGAGAAAGACGGAAAGCAGGAATCATTCACCTTTGATGCTGTCATGATCTGTACAGGACACCAGATAGAAGCATATACTCCACTGAATTCTTTTCCTGGTATGGTTTTGCTTAACAGAACGTTGAATCTCTGAATATTTTTCAGTAGTTTTTTACAAACGTTTAGAAAATGCACATTCTAGTTAGAGTCCCAGGATCCAGGGATTGGGGATGAGGTAAATTCAGCTCAGTCAGAGAGACCAATGAAATAACCATGGAGCATGCTAGAATGCAAGGGGGGGGGGTAATTATTCTATATACTACTAAAACTCTCGTGTCTGTAGCCTTCAACTGGGTGAAACAGTGAGTCATAGGGCAACAGTTTTTGAACCAAGGTACCTCAAATGGGCTAACTTACAGAATGCATCCAAAATCCAGGACCCATAACTCCTGTGGGATTAAAATTTGGGGAATCTGTGGCTGCTTCAGCACTGCTGTGCTGCTGTGCCACTATGGTCAGCCCAGGTCACGTGATTGTGGGGCATGTCCCTGACCTTTTTCCCACCTCCCTCTGTCCCCTGCACCCAGTCAGCTGGTAGCAAGGCCTGATGGGCAAGCTGTGATTGGCTGCTTTGGAACCAAGGCAAACATTTGAAATCTCTTAACAGTTGTGGGCATTGAGGGAAGGATGAGGGAATGACTTGGATGCCTTCTGGCAAGGTAGGGGTGGCTGGGGACGCCAGTGGTCAATGGGTGAGCCCTCTTCCTCCCTTGAGGCAGGGGGTCCTTGGGGACATGCTGCAATGGGGAGTGGGGGTGCAGTATTCCTCATGGCCCGCAGCTCCCTTTGTTCCACCTCCCCCCAGCAAAGTGGCAGGCAGTTCCAGGGGTGAGCTGAGGAGGAGGAGGAGATTCACAGGGGATCTCCTGAGGGTCATGAGGGGCAAATAGCGCAAGCCTATGTTATATGGAGGGAGGAAAGGAGGGAAGGAAAGTTGGTTTCTGACACTCTCTGTCAGCTTCCCACAAGCAAAGTCAATGGGGAAGCCAGCAGGAAGTCACAAGTCACTCCTGCTCCCACTGCTTTTTTGCCCACCCATGGCCATTCTGTTTCTCTATTTAGGTAAGGAAATAGCTCTGAAACAATGACCAACAGATCACAGGTTATCTAGTATCTTTTAAATGTATGTAAAAAAGGACCTGTCTCCTTGCTTGCATACAGATGCACTTGGAAATGGGAGGGAAATGTGAAAAAATATAATCAGAAACAGCCTTTTATTCAGCTTTTTACATTTAATCATAGTTTTGCTAGGCGCAGCATCTGTGAGGAAGAATGAGGCAAAAATCACTTTTCTTTATATTCCTGCTTGAGATTCAGTGATTAAGAAAGATTTCTTCTTTCACCCTTGATTTTGAACCCCTGTGTCATGACTGATGTATCTTTTTATCCTGAGTCTAAACAAAATGGAGCTAAGGTACAAATTTTGCAACCTACCCTTTATGCCCTGTTGTGCAAACAAAATGATGAAAGCAAGTCATGTAATAATTTGTTCCTTACTCTTTATTTTTATAATATCATAGCAAGTCCATGTTTTGAACTCTTTGAAGAAGGAACAAACTGGAGAAGATTTAGAATGAAACGATACGTGGAGGAGAAGGAGTGGTGCACCTTTTCTTCCTCTTATTTCCCTATCCACAACTGCCTGCTGCAGCTCGCTCGTCTGCTGCTCAGGGAAACAGAATATCAGGGCTTTGTTTTCAAGTCTGCCCCTTAACATGTCATTGAGATAGAAGAGTATGAGTTCACATAATTATATTTGTGAATGGAATGATGTATATATTTTAAATTAGTATTCTCTTATATTGTACATTACATGGATCTTGAATCCCATTTTTAAAAAATGACTTAGAAATAAAATGCAAGCTCTTCCAGAACATGGTTTAAAGCTATATTTTCACTTTGTTTTCCTCCCTCAAAAGATGAGGGGAGCGTCTGAATTATTCCCTTCTTTCTACAACTAGTCAAATGTAACCCAAGCTTGAATACTAACCTGAATCCCACAAAATGTAGATTCCAGAATCTGGTATATCAAAACTTATTTTTGCAGCCTGAAGTCCTTCTACAAGTGTTGTAGTTGTGTTTTGCTTCACGGCAGGTTTCGAAAAGTTCAAAGGGAATTCATTCCACAGCCAAAATTACAAGGATCCAAAAGGATTTGAAGGGAAGACGATTGTGATCATTGGAATGGGGAATTCAGCTGCTGATATTGCTGTGGAGATCTGCAAAAAAGCAAAGAAGGTAAAGGGAGATTAGGTTGTTTGGGGGAGCTTATAATATTTCAGATGCGGTTTTAAGATTTTGCAGAGTTCCAGATTAAACCTGAAAATAGATGACCCCACATCAAAAGGACACCTCCCCCCTCATGAACAGGAAGAGGGGAGTGAAAAGAATACAGAAAAAGATAGGTATATAAATATAAATACAAAATTGCATACCATACCCCTGGGTTTTTCACAAAAACAGATGGTTAGAAGGGATCCTTGAAACAAGAACAACATAAAATTGAATCATGTATTCATCAATTTCTTACAAAAAAGACTGCCCTGGGCCTTCTGTGCATTTCTTTAATTGTAGAAACCTTTTGCCAAAACATAAAATCCACTCTGTAGTTAGTGGGAAGCAAAACAAATCCATTCCTGGCTTCATCAAAACCACCTGGAGCGGGGGGAAAAAATTCACTTTTCAGCTGTGCAAAGATTTGCCTCATGTATTAATTCTGGAAAGACTCAGGACCTGCTAGATTAAAATAGTCCCACCTATATTGTACCCCAAAAGAAGTACCTGGATTACCCTGGAGAGGGGGGATGATTCACCTTCCATCTCTAATCTCAGTGTGCCACAGCTAGAAAACAGACACACCACAGAAAAAAAAATAATGCAAGCAAATGAGTTATAAAATGTCTCAAAACAAACATTATAGGGAAAGACAAACGTGACTTGTCAAATTCCAATGAATGATATTCCAGCCCAGTTCAGAGTACTGATCTTGCTCCTGAATTTTCTCTGTATACATTGCTTTTCAAATAATATGTACTGCTAGCATCAGAAGTCTCACATGTTTTGAAATCTGTTATGACAGTGAATACTATGACCTTCATTAGAACCAGCTAAACTTCATAATGATGACATACAGGTGCTTGAATTGCTCAGAAATCTATCTCAAGCTGATTTATTTAATGAAAGATAAAGATATTTTCAGAGAGCTAAAGATGTTTAAGACCTTGACTACTCATTGATCGCATAGCCACATTAGGTGACCTCCATTTCTGAGCAGCAGAATAGCTTCAGGATACTAACTCTTCTTTTTCTCACAACTTAGTTTCTTTGGAGATTAAAATGGTCTGGCTAGGCTTGTAGGGTGAAAATTGAGTCTCTACCCTTCACTCCCAGAAATTTGCTGGGTTTTATACAACCCTGGCCTGCTCCCTGTCTTGACATAGTGGCTTTGTAGTACTTTTGCTGCCACCCCCTACCTGCATAGGGGATACCCAGCAGGTGGGACAGACATTGATGATCTCGAATTACAAGATAATCAAGAGCTAAAATCTATGGCACTCCCTCCTGTAACTACAGCATGAGCTTGAGGTGCGTGCTGAGGAAAAACTGTTCCCTTGAGAGTTAAAATAACATTAACACCTCTAATTATAAATTAAGTGTGATTAAAAATAAAAGAATATATAAATCTTACTTTCAGTAAATTGAAATGACAGTGACTGTTGGAGAAAATATTATATAACATGTTATTGTTATATTCCGTAACATGGTTATGGAAAAGAAAGTTGATTTCAGGAAAAGGATAGATTCAAAATAGAAATTAAAAAGTTCTTCAGCCCTTCTCTTGTGGTTCTATAGGTGGTCCTCAGTGCCAGGGGAGGCACCTGGGTGATGAGTCGAGTATATGACAATGGCTATCCTTGGGACACCATCTATCACAGTCGCTTTATTAATTTTATCCGAAATTCTGTCCCATGGTTTGTTTTGCGATGGATGACCGAACAGAAGATGAATCAGTGGTTCAATCATGAAAACTATGGCTTGGTACCTCAAAACAGGTATGTGAAGACAAACACATAATTAGGTATTTGTCCTGAGTCTGTCACTATAGTTACTGCAAGTTATTACAACAATCACTTGCAAAGTTAATAAATTAACCTTGAAGCTACCCAAGGTTTTGGATTGCGCTGAATTTTGCCTCCTGCACCATTCTGCAAAACCAAGCAAAATTGAATTGGCATGTTGCTTAAAATAGATTTTTATAGGTCAAGTTAAATAAACTGTGACATTAAGTCCATCAGTGTTATGCTTCCCTTTATTTCCATTTTAAAAAACCACACACAATTCCCACTTTCAAACTCAAATATTATCTGTAAAGATGTGTGACTCGTCGGGTCTCCTCGTGAATCACTGTTGTTGACTTGCTGTCCTCCAATCATGGAATCAGCTTAGAAGAGAGACTTACTCAGCAATAGCAATAGCATCCACCCTTGAAAACCCTTTCATTTCTGAGGTACCACTTTGCTGGGTGTTTTTGCAATGCAGTATGAGGACACTTGAATGAACACAGCATGGTGTTTACTGTACTTAACATCCACTCTGTTGCACATACCATGCATAGCATTGTAATTGAAGGAGAATAAGCAGAATTTGAAAGGTCACATTTTATCATATACTTTTATAGCATAAGCACATAAGTCACTTATTTATTTAAACCATTTATATGGCCACCCATATCATAGCAATGACTCTAGGGGTCATACAAGAATTAAAACCAGTAGTAAAAATCACAGTCCAAATAATAAATGTCTGAAGTTGCAGAAAGCATTCCAACTCCAACAAAGAGAAGAACAATAAAAACCAATCAACAGCAGAGCTTACTCAACCTGCCCCTCTCCATCCCCACCCCAAATGCCTGGGGGAACAGCCAAGTCTTTACAACCGTAGAGCATGTGGGAGAAGCAAGTATGATGTCCTTTCAGATGACTTTTTTCAATAGTCTTAATTGCAAGTGTATACAACAGCTGTGTAGGAAAGCAGGCCACTTTATGTGGAAAGTCAGGCCTCCGCTAGAGTCCAAAGTGTCCAGTTTCCATTTTCAAGATTTCCACTTATTTATTTATTTTAAAAAGGACATTAACAACTTATGCACTTTCTCAGGTATGTACAGATGCAGGTTTTAATGTACAGATGTGGGTTGTTCATACCTATGCAGGGACAAAGTGAGAAATATACTTTTAAAAATGTCTGTCTTTCCTACAAATCCCTCCCACCCCCACATACAAGATTAAAGTGGGAGAAAATGTTGCAAAACAAATTCTACACACATAGTGCATGGAAATCAGTTATGAGAAGGCTATTTTAAAATTAGTTTGGAAGAAAAATGGGATAGTGTCATCAAAATTTAGTGGGGAATGCCATCTCGTGTAGAGTGAGCTATGCTACAGAACTGAGGAATGATGTTAGTGTAGATTGGCCACAGACAACCAGAATATGTTCCTGAGGGAAGATAACCTTTGTAGCTACAAAGAACAAATATACTTCTGGGAAATGCTCTTCTCTTCTTAGAATATGACAAGATTGAATTATACAAAGTATTATGAAAGGTCACTGATAACATAATTATATTTTTCATAGCAGTGCTGTTCCCTCTATTGTCTTGTGCATTTTAGGTACTTGATGAAAGAGCCAGTGTTCAATGATGATCTGCCAAGCCGTATCCTATGTGGATATGTGAATGTGAAACCACTTGTCAGGCAATTCACAGAGACCTCAGCCATATTTGAAGATGGGACAGTGGTGGAGAATGTAGATGTTGTCATCTTTGCAACAGGCTACACCGTTGCATTCCCTTTCCTGGACAAGTCAGTCTTGGAGGTGGAGGACAATCGTGTCCCACTCTATAAACATGTCTTCCCTCCTCATCTGGAGAAGCCAACCTTGGCTATTATTGGTCTCATCCAACCTCTTGGGCCTATTATGCCCACTTCAGAACTGCAGGCACGCTGGGCTACAAGAGTCTTCAAGGGTAAGATTATAATTTATAGAAGATGAATACTTTATAAAATATATCTGCAGAGTATGACCTGCAGAGTGTAAAAGGACAACATCCTGTCTTAAGGAGCTTGAATTCTAAAATTTGACACGTGGTAATAATAAAGGGAGATGAAGAAAGTAACTCGAGGTATTATACGTTACTCACTCTCCAAAAGAAAGTCTTTTCCTTGCAATAATCTTGTGAGGTAGGACAGGCTGAGAGATAGTGTATGGTTCTGTATCATGCCAAATCATAATGTTTTTAGTTTGTTTTTGGCTTAGTCCAAATAAACCAGAATTTATTTTAGGTCAATAAGCCACAATTTGAAACAATGGTTTGTTGGCTTTCTGATAACAAGTGCAGCTTAGAGGTCCACCAGAGATACAGCCTTTTTGTCTCTAATCCTTAATCCAGTTTAAAATGTAATCAAGATTGATCTAGATTATTTTGACTATTTGCAGATCTGTTCAGACATCAAGATGTTACAAATACAGCCATGGCTGTACGCTTGTGAATCTAGAGCTCATAGAGAAGAGACAGCCAAACATTGCTTCCTTGCTATCATTTCAGGCTGGCCAATAACTGAATGCTTGTTCCATCTCCTGATATTCCACCTGTCTGTGTCTGAGCAGGCATTTCTTTCATTCAATTATCCTCCATGTATTTCTGCACACTTATCTGTGAAGGAGTGCAAAATATCCCACAGGCAGCTTGAGGGAAGCATATATAAAGAGAGAATGTTAAAGACTATACCCAAATGTGTAGAACATTTCTGAAGGCTCATCACCTGTTAACAGCAACAGATACCCGCTGTTTTCCATATCTTTGATGTAAGAGCAGCCATGTTGTTGGCCATCTTTCCCAACCATATGTTCTTTTAGGTGCTGGGAGGTGGAGAAGGCAAGAATCCCCTCCAATGGGAGCACAGAATGCCTGTTCAAACACGGGGGGGGGGGGGACGCAACATATTGCCCTTTCTGAAGTTTCATTTGTTGCTTTTAGATGGCATTCCCCCATTCGAGGCTAAACTAATACTGAAACAAGGATAGGCCAGAGTCATAAACTCTGGTCATGACATGGCAGAGTCACCAGGTGGGGGTCATGTCACTTTGGGACCAGAGCTGCACCATTGTTTTGGCAAGCCCGATTTGTGTTTATGCTTCTCCCAGGCCTCTCATCAGATGCAGGGCAAGATCTCCTCAAAAGAAGGAAGAAAAACCAACCAGGAATTGCCAAACAAGCCAGAATTTGTTTATCTGCAAAATTGGCTTGTTCTACCAACCTTGGTTAAAAGAAAACATGGCTTAGTCTGGGACATATGAACTCAGTCAGACACTAACCCTGAATTACTCAGGGAGCTTCATAATTTTCTCCGGTTCTCGTCCAACCGTACATTCCAGCCTACGAAGCTGGTGATGCCAGAATAGTGAGCTCATGACTGAAACCTGAAACAGAATCCTTGCTACTCTATGCCAGATTTTGGGTGGTTATGTAAGTGCTAAAGGAATAAAGGCAAAGAAGATGGGACGATATGAATTCTTTCAATGTTTTGATATCTTGGAGGTAGATATCAAACCAAGGAAAGGAAAAGGAAAGACACATAAACTGATATTAGCTCCTTCCAGTCATAAAAATTTAATAGGCTTTGGCCAATAATAATGCAAGGCAAGAAAAGACTCTGTTCCTTTGTAAAACAAAGTGCACACTGAAGTTTTGCAAAGTGATTATTATATGCTCCTTAAGTTAAGAAGCATTTGCTTTTCTAAATCCCTCCTCTGGAAACAACGTCATTAACGTGAACTCTGGCTAAGATACAGACTAGCTGGTTGAAAACAGGTGGCAGATTTTGCTTCCCTTTGCAGCCTGCCTACTTCACATAGAAGCATGTGGCACCTTTAAAAATAAAAGAAGATGAAAGAAGGAAAAGCACTACAAACTTCAAGGTCCACACGTTTCAAACTTTTTCAAGCTATGGAAACTGTTAGTTAAAAGAAAAAAAAATGGTAAGAGGAAGCAATATTAAAACTTTTCTGTGCTGCTGCCACCCACTTTACATGCCCTCTCCAAGAAGAGTGAAATATAATTTTTGCAAATTACTTTATCAAAATTATAAGAAAAAACTAGATGATGATGATGATGATGATGATGATGATGATGATGATGATGACGACGACAAAAACTACAGCAGCCACACCCAGGACTTTCACATTACCGAGAAGGAGAATAGGATTCCATCTTTTTGGGGGTGGGGGGGAGCTAATAAACCAAATAAGCTTGTGTGTGTGTGTGTGCGTGTGCGTGTGTCTTTTATATAAAACTGTAGAATGGACTGTACTGAGAGAGCTGTCCTGCTGTAAAGTCCTCTGAGGGGGACAAGTGGCTTGTTCAGACCCAAACTTTTTTTTCCCCTAGGGTTAAGCCTCCTGCCTTCAGAGTGTGCCATGGTGGCTGATACCATTAAAAGAAATGAGAAGAGGATAAAGTGGTAAGAGAACTCTCCTAGGCGTAGGCATCTGCAGGGAGGGCAAGGGGCAGCAAGTAACGAAACCTGTATTGTCCATTATGTACTTGAATGGAATATCATCATGCAAGTAGAAAAGAACAGAAATTGCCTCGTGACATCACAACACACATGGTTAGGATTGGATAGCTATATTCCTAAGGAACATCAATCCTCCTTATTTTGGAGGAACTTCCCCATCTTATATAGCTTCCCAAATGTGAACAAATTTGATGGGACTAAACGTGAAGCTGTGTTATTAATCTCTGCTACAGATCACTGGGCAATATTTTTTTAAAATAGTTTAACTTGAGAGAAATATCAGGAAACATGCTTTGGCCATGGGTTGGCGTACAAAATGGGTGCTATTAAAATGTTATAAATGTATTTATTTGCTCACCATGCAATAATTAAGAATGTTTTTGTATCAATAAATGAAAAGCCAAATATCAGCAGCTTATGCAGAGGATTAGTGAGGGAAGCTGGACAGGAGCATTATAGTTTGGTTTTCTTGTTTCTATAGCTATCACCTAGAATTTTGTGTGGTGATTATTTCTGTTCAGACATAAAACGCTGCAGGGAAGAAAGAAAATACAAAATATAAGATTGAGGGTTTTTACTTTTCAGAATAGAAATAGTTTGGTCAATTGATCAAAAAACAGCATTTCAATAGCATTACTTTTAATAACGTTCCCCAACCTTCTAATTCACTTGATGGCAAGCGTATATGGAGAGTGGGAGGGGCAGAATTGACAGTCTGCTGTTGGAATGGGAATAATTACTTCCATCACGGAATTGTAACTCCTCTCAACTTCTGTCCACCTACAAAGGTTTGGCACCAGCCGCAGTCAGTCAATCCAAACAGAGTTCATTGATTACCTGGACGAGCTTGCTGTAGCCACAGGATCAAAGCCAGATCTATTCCCATTGCTGCTGCGGGATCCCATACTGGCTTGGGCCATGTTTTTTGGACCCTGCAACCCTTTCCAGTTCCGCTTAAAGGGTCCAGGAAAGTGGACTGGGGCCAGAGATGCCATCCTCACCCAGAAGGAGCGGATCATTAAACCCACAAAAACACGAGTTGTGAGCAGCTCTTCAAACCACACTCCTTTCTCCCTGCTCACAATCCTTGGTCTCCTTGGTATCTTGGTTGCATTATTCCTTGTCCTTGTTCAGCACTGATCTCCACCCTGTAACCCATCAGTGATAACTGCTTAGGTCCAAATCATGCTTTCTATTCCTCTTAATGATCACCACTGCAGGCTTACCTCTACACTTTATTTTCTGCATGCTCACAAACATGGAAGAGGGCGAGTGAGCTTACAAAGAACTTCCTGGGAAATTATGAACTAGGAAGAGGCATGAAAGTTAGGGGTGTATGTGTGTGTGTGAGAGAGAGAGAGAGAGAGAGAGATTTTTAGGAAAAAGAAATAGGCATGCATGTCTGGTACAGCTTTAAGGTGCTCCTACAAACTGCCTTCCCAGGGACTTTCCAGCACAGCCTGGAGGGGGCCTTAGTGGTGGTGGGGGTTGGGGCAGGGACTCAGTCTGCCTCTGAGAAGTCACTGAAAATAATTGCAACAGCTACCCCACCTTCATTTCCCCAGAGGCAAAGAGAGAGAAGCCCCCAGCTGTAGGTGCAAGAGGAAGGCCCATGCCTTCCCCTTACAGAGCTGGGCTCTTTAAAAAGCTAATTTGTTGCTTTTACCGTTAAAGGCTTAAGGCTATACACAAACTGAAAAGCTTCAAGGAAAAGAATATAAAACTCTCAAAAAATTGATAAAGGAAGACTGTGCAATAGCAGTGTGAAGAACACTGACACTATCCCCAATGCCAAAAGAGAAGTTTATGGGACTTAGTATATCAAGCATCTGTAATGCTGCAGAGCAATAAGGAGGCACCAGCTCACCCCAGGTGTGTGTACAGCAACTTTCTCTTCCCTGGGCACCTTCCAGCTATCTGGAGTTCAGCTCCCAGATCCTCCATCCAGCAAGGCCATTGTTAAGAATTCCAGACATTGAAATCTATCCATCTGGAAGATGCTCAATTGGAGAAGGCTAGAAGGTCACTAGTAGATATTGCACAGCAGATAACATATTCACAATTTTGAAAAGGCAGTACTCCTCCCCCTGCAAAAAAACCCCCTACTTCTGGTAAAATAAAAATTCCTGTTTAAGAATATTTCCCAAACAAGAACATACTACTTGTAACATGACATCAGGAATACAGAACTTACACCTTTTAGGAAGTCATGTTTTCTTTCTAATACAGTACATAGGCTTATAGAGAAATATTTTCAAAAAGTTTTAATTGTGAATACATCAGTGTTAGCTGTCCTTTAATAAATTTAGATAAGATTCTCTGTAATATGGTCAGAAAGGAAAACAGGGACCAAACTGCATGAAATTTCAAGAAATCATATTACAATCTATTTCTATTTTTCTCTTATTCCTTTTAACATAAGATAACAGTGCAATTCATTCTTGATTTTTAAAAAAGGAGCACATCTGGATTTCATACTTGAATCATACAATGCTGCCCTGAACAATGTCTCAAGGCAGAAATATACAACCCATGAAATGCTGTGATATTTTTCTGTGGGGCCTTGCTTAAGGAGCTTAGCTTTTTATGTGAAAATTGCCATTATGGTTTGTGTAGTATAAAGTATGGCTTAATGTTTTATGCAAATCCACCTAACTTGGCTTTATACAATAAACCATGGTTAAATAAATAAGGATCTTTTACTTCTTAGCTGACAGAGTACAGTATGTAGTGGGAAGGAAAAATTTAAAGAGGACAATCGCCTTCACTTGGAATTTTCAGATGGTTGTGCGGATCAAAGTCACACACATACACACACACCCATCAGATGACACTGTAACTTGAAGCTTATGAAAAGAAGAAAATCCTATTTTCCTGTGTTTTTCCATCAGCTGGTGTTATTTCCCTGTGCTTAGTGGGTAGTCTGTGCCCTGCTAGGAGTGTCATAGCCAATCAGTCACCCAGTCCAAATTCTCCCATTATAGCAGTACTGGATGGACTGGACAAAGGAACCAAATGTCAGGAATCCTAACCTGACAATATCAGTAGTTTTAAGAAGACAGATCAGGCATTATCAGGTAAGCAAAAACATGGGTGAATCATATACTTTTTCCTCTTTAGTTTCTCTGAAGAGCTATTACGGGTCAGCAGCCAAATGCTGACCAGCTGGCAGTTCTCTGGGCACAGCTATTGCTAAAAAGAATTAGTGTTTATTGGTTGAACATTTCTTACAGATAAACATTCAATCTGAAACCATTCAGGGTTGCTTTATCTATTAAAAGAAAACCCTCAGAGAAAAGTTCCATGGAACTATACAAAAAACATGCGGTTTACTCCAAAATTCCAAAAAGATATCAAATGGTGTGACTCTGTATTTTTCTCAGTGCCTCCTGGGAGGAGGAGAACATAGGGATTGCATCTGGATTTATGTCTCAGAGGTACAAAGTGATATTCTGACATTTCTCATCCAACATCATCGACTGGGCGGTAGTTCTCTCTGTTCAACACCTGCTCTGAAGAGCAACTGCTGATTGACTGGTGGTTCTTGGTGAGCTCAATAGACTCACAAGGGTGTAAATGTGTCTGTGCCCACAGCATATACTATCCTAATGGTAGAGGTTTGTACAAAATGGGAAATGTATTTTGTTTTACGCTGAGAACAACGTATGCTACCCAGAACATTCTGCTGGAATACTCTGAGTTGGCTGTGTTCCGATGGAATTAAAATGAAATGGGATTTTGCATAATTTGTTTTTCACCCAGGGGCCACAACGTTAGGTGGGATGACAGTCCATGTTGACTGCTGCTGCTAGTCAGCCAACTTGTAGACAGATTTACAAAAGGAACAATTTTTAAAAGGTTGACAGTGCACATAGGCAAAAATAACCCAGACATAACACTCTGGTGCTGGACCCAACATTTAAGGCAAAAAGCTGATTCTTTCATCAACATTCTTCAATTACCTATGAGCTACAATCTCCCAGCCTGAATATTCTGTCCAAGCCGGCAGACTTAATTGTATTTCTATTACTTCTATAGAGGCATTTTAAATGTTTTCAGATGCCACATAGGAATGACTGCTGCTTAATTGCATTTGTAGTGTTAACATTACAACAAAATGCAAGAGAGTACCAGTACTACCCACCCCATTACTATTTTGCCAGACTCTATCAATAAAATCAGCATTAAATAAATGCACCAGCAGCTGTTCAGTAAAACACAAAATCCAGTGGCAGCAACTAAGCCAACAGGAATAGTCCTTTAGTTTCTTAATCTATATACTACTAAAACTCTCACTGTGTTTATCTGTTTGTCTGTTTGTACTCTCGTTAGCCCAAACGGTGCATTATACCACAACAATTTTTGAATCAAGGTACCTAAAATCTGCTAATTTAAAGAATGTGTAAAAAGTCTGGGACCCATTACTCCTGTGCAACTGAAATTTCCAGAGTGTTCACACCAGTTTTATTCGCAAAGTTGTGGCCTTTGCAGCATCCCCACAGTCACGTGATCGTGACTTCTAATGCTCCCTGCCAGCTTCCACAAATCCACTAACTTAAAGAATGAATAAAAAATCTGGGACTCATTACTCCTGTGGAATTGAAATTTCCACGGTGTTCACACCAGTTTTATTCGCAAAGTTGTGGCCTTTGCAGCATCCCCACAGTCATGTGATCATGATTTTAATTAATATTTATTTGTTGTTTTTATTGTAAACTGCCCAGAGTTACTTCCTCATGAGATGGGCAGTGTCAAAATTTGAAAAGGAAGGAAGGAAGGCAGGCAGGCAGGCAGAGACAACATTTCCAATGCTCCCTGGTGGGAGTTTTTTTTTTTTTTTTTAATATCTATAAGATAAACAACATCTAATCAAGCAACTACCAAGAAAAAAAAACCCACACCCCCATCAACACTGGCAGGGCAAGCTACTGTATACAAGCAGATAGCAAACTGCATCCCATTCTAGCACTGAAGATGTTACCTGGCCAGTTTGCAAGAAAACAACCAAGTTCAGAGAACCCCAAGGACTTCTTAGTTCAACCCTGAGCTGCACATATTGGTATCATTCACTGAGAATCAGCTTCTATATAACTAGAATGTATTTCAAGGGTCCTACATGGATCTGAATGTCAGCTGATACAAGCCCTTAAAAACTCAGTCATTAACTTCAGCCATTAATTCAGAACAATGTTGATTGGCTACTAGATTGAAAAATTAAAGTATAATTATTCCTGAAAGAGCAGTTTGGTGTAGTGGTTAAAGGCCCTAAACTAGAAGCCAGGAGACTGTGAGTTCTAGTCCTGCCTTAGGCAGAAAGCCAGACAGGTGACTTTGGGCCAGTTACCCTTTCTTAGCCACAGAAGAAGGCAATGAAAAACCAATATTGAAAATATGCCCAAGAAAACTAAATGGATTTGTCCAGGAAATTGTCAGGAGTCAAGATTGACTCAAAAGGATTTAAAAAAAAGTACTGAAGTGTTAAACTGTTCTAACTACAAGCAATTGCAGTACAACTGATTAATCATGCTATGCTGTAATCACTTCTCATGGGAACAAGTTTCTTCAGGCTCAACTAGCAAGGGAACCATATATAATATGAGAATATTCTGGTGATCTATGTGTATTCTAAATGGCCTAGAAAAGTGAGCTATGGATCAAGAGTTCTAATGTACTTTACTTTTATTTGAGAAGTGATCTTAAAGGGCAGTTCCATTAAGTAATCCTTACTATGACACACTTAAATCTTTCAAGTTGCTATGAATGCAGAGCTTGGTATTTACTGAGAAGAATACCAAGCAGGAAGTAGCATTTAATCCTTCCTGCACCCATTCACATTCCCATACAAATGCCTCCAAGTCCATTGTCCCCTGACACATTTATTTACAGAAGGATAATAAAATCTATAGATTCAGGTTACCAATTCTCACCCAACTTTTCTTTTTAAAAAGTGCCCCTTATCCCCTCATTGGGTTAAATGGTTTGAGAGCCAGCCTTTCCTAATGCTTCAGGTATGTTAGGTATGAAACTTTCAAAATTCCTAGCCAGCATGGCCAAAGAGATTTATAGGAACCTGACTGGCAAAAGTTGTCCTAATTCTAGTTTTAGATTGCTGTATTGATTTACTTACCTTATTAGAACAATGCAAAAGCAAATACTTTCCTCAATCACTAGATTTCTGACTATTAAAATTCCAAAATCAATCACTTTTGCACAATTATTACCTCAAGGTTTAGCTCAAAGTTTAAACCAAGTGAGCTTTTTGACAGTCCAAATTCCATATCTTCACTCTTATTGCCAAAAACGAATCTGTGACACTGAAACTTAACATTCTCCCACCCAGCTGGAAAAAGCACATTTCGGCAACCAAGGAGATCTGATCTGGGCCACTTTTAAGTAATAAGTAAGTAGTAAGTAATAAGAATAAAAAGCATGAGGTCAAGCTCTATGGATGCTTCAAGAGGAACTAATTCAGATTCCAGAGGTTTTGCTCTGTTACTGTGTTGCAACCTAAACAATTAAGAAGCTGATTGTTTCTTTAAAAAACAACTTCTGAAGAGGTTCAATCAGGCAATTTTGAAGCTACAGTACACAAATGAAATGAAGCAGCAAATCAACAATGCCATATAGGGGTTAGAATGAATGCACTAGTGCAGTCAGGGAAACTCCAGATCTCCACTCCTTTTAGCTAAAACTACACCAGCTTTAGTTACCAATAAGGGTCTCCCTATTCCAGAAGATAGCCTTTCCTTGCCTCTTAGGTAGGAGGCCTGTCCTTGTTTACAGACTGCTCTCCAATTCATAGCAACTGCTGATAAGCTACTATTCAAGGACTATTCAACTGAGATGCAAAATGGAAGACTAATCCTCCAGTGTCCTCCAGAAACTCTTGTGGCATACCTAGCCCTCCCTCTGTCAACTTTGCCTCACAATAACAATCCTCTAAAGAGAATTGGGCTGAGAGAGAGAGTTACTGGCCCAATATCACCCCTGTCAGGCTATACTCCACAAGCTGGAATGAACTGCTCACAAAAAATCCAAAAACTTCAAATAAGTAATATTTACTGTACTGAAGGAGATTATTGAAAAAAGAATTTCAGCTATTGCTCCAGAACAAGGCAGACAGACAAATAGATAATAATCAAACCCTCTTGTGTTTAATTTTTCTTCCCACTCTTCCTAAATGGACTACTTGGCCCCCTTTTTTGACCAATCATCATCGACACTTCTTGGGAGTGATACTGGGAATAAATTGGAAGGCTACAATTTGTTTAAAAGAAAAAGACCCAAGAGAAAGGGTGAGTGTATTGTACTGTATGTAAAGAAAAAATGAACCTGCACAGGACTTGAGGAACCAGGGCATAGACAACCTGTTGAAACTATTTGGGCAAGATTAAAAAGAGAGGGAAACAAAGGTGATACCATTGTGGGGATGTTTTTTATAGACTACCTAAGTAGGCAGAAGATATAGATGAGGTCTTTCTGAATCAGATTACCAGTCTTTCAAAGAGATACAATGGGGGGCCTCAATTATTCTGACATCTAACTAATTTATGAAAATCTAACTCAGCCAAGAGTCAGTGGTCCAACAAATTCTTGTCCTCTTTTGCTGATAACTCCATTTGTCAGAAGACAGAAGAAACAACAAGGAGGTCTTCTATCCTGGACTTAATTGTCAGGAAGGAATTGGTTGAAGAAGTGAAAGTGACTGGCATCCTGGAGGAAATGATTATGTTATCCTTGAATTTGTGACATCCAGGAACAACTGAGACAAGCTGGAGTTGCATACTGGACTTCAGAAGCGTAGATTTGATGAACTCTGAGGGAAAATAGATTGGAAAGCCTTAAATCCTCAAGGAAAGAAGTGTTCAGGAAGGACTGGAAATTCTACAAAATGAGACAGTGAAGGTGCAGTTGAAAACAATCCCCCAAGAAAGAAACATGGGAGAAATCTAAAGAAGTCAGCATGGATACACACAGATAAAATGCTGAAAAGAAAAAAGGGATATGTAAGTAATGGGAAGAGAACGTGGCCAAATAAGAATATAAGGTTGTCTTCAAAAACTGTAGAAAGTCTGTCAAAAAAGTTAAAACTCAGAATGAGCTGAGGGCTGTGAGAGACACCAAAAATAATAAAAGAGATTTATTTGAGTATGTTAGGCATAAAAGGAAAGGCAAAGAGAGTGTAGGTCCATTGCAAGAAGGTGGTGGTGAAGCAGTAACAGGTGATGGTGAGAATACATCATTTTAATTCCTATTTTGCATCTGTCTTCTCTCAGAAGGGAAATGGAGCCCTAGCTGATCATGGTTCTGCTACTGGAGAAGGGAAAACTGCTGTCAGATTCAGCCGGCACGGCCCGGTACGGTGAAGGCACCGCTCAGCTTCGCCTAAGTCAATTTCGCCGCCCAGGCGCGAGCAGAGAGAAAGGGGAAGTGAAACCGCAAGCTGATTACGGACAGGTGGTGGTGCTTAACTCAAAACCGCAAGCGGATACTTTGTATCAGCGCAGCTTCCCTCAAGTGCTGCAAAGGAAAGCGCAGAGGCTCGGAAGCGAAGCAATCAACGAGCGAGCGATTGAGAACTCCCGGCTTTGCGAGCGATTGAGAACTCCCGGCTTTGCGTGCAAACAGGCAAACCCAACAAAAGCAACAACA